ATTTCCATTTTTGGAGAGGATATAGGATCTACACAGCCAATAAAAAGTTCAGCGACTAAGTGACTTGCACCATAGTACCATTTTTTTTTTTTTTTAAAAAAAAAATGAAATATAAAGAATAAATATAAAATAAAGTAAAAATAGAAATAAAAGATTTTGATTCGAAATTAGGATATTTCGGCCAACAAATCAGTATTAAATCCTAATTCTGGCAACAATAGGAATGTATAATAATAATGATTATTAAATAAATTTAAAGTTATTTGTGTTAACAATGAATAATCAATTTAATGATTAAATGGACATTAATATCTGAATATTTTAAATATTCACCAAATGATCCCGAATATTGAATATTCAGTGGGTACAACCTCTACTAAAGCAAATATATGATAATTATGATGACAATAAACTAAATTACAATGCTTCAAAGACTTCAACAAGTAGTAAATAAATTTAGTTGTATATCATTTTTACTCACCCATTCTCTTGCATCTAGTCCATATTATAAATGTGGCTTTATTTCACTCATTAAAACAAGATTTATAATTAAAGTGGGACGTTTTATCATTCCATAATTAAAAAACGATTAAGTTATTAATTTTCTTATGATGATGTCGATCCTTTCCGTGTATCACGAATTCCGAATGTCTTCTTAATCTATTATCTTCTATACGCGCCTAAAAGTAAATAAACGTTTGTATTTTTTCTTTTTTCTTTGTTCTTTGTTGTTTGTTGTCATTATATTGTTCACTTTATATATGATATATATGACACACAGCCCCTTCACGATCAACAATCAATTTCTTATTTAATTAGCATTAAATTGAGGATCCATTTATCTGCGATTGCAAAGAATAACTAAAATTCTAAAATAACTGATTTATTATAATTTTTTATAAATTCCTTAACTGCATACAATTTGAAAAAAAATTAAAATTCACTAAGAATTAACTGAACAAGTCAAAATGAAATTCAATATTTCTCTTCTCTTTTTGGTTATATTTGCTGTTGTTGCTTTAGCAAGTCCAATGGGTGATAACAATAATTTGGTGAAGCGAGGTATTTCATTTAACTATTGCAATAAACATCATTATAGTCAAATATCTTTGTTTTTGAAAAAATACTAACTATTGGGTTTCATTTGATTTTAAATAATAAATAATTCCGTAAGTATTTTTGCACCATTATTACAGCCAATATCATTGTTTTTGAAAACATATTAATTACTGATTTTAATTTTATTTTAAATAATAAATAGAGTGGTAAGTTACCATTATTACAGCCAAGGTCATTGTTTTTGAAAAAATATTAACCATTGATTGACTCTTGTTTTATTCTAAATAATAAATAGATTGTAAGTATTTTCATCATTACTATCATTACATCAATATTGTTGTTTTTGAAAACGTATTAACTGCTAATTTTTATTTTATTTTAAATAATGAATAGCCTGTAAGTATTTTCATAATTTACTATTATTAAAGCCAATATCATTGTTTTTGAAAACATATTAACTATTAATTTTTATTTTATTTTAAATAATGAATAATGAGTCTGTAAGTATTTTCACAATTTACTATTATTAAAGCCAATATCATTGTTTTGAAAACATACTAACTATTGATTGGCTTTTGTTTTATTTTAAATAATAAATAAGAATGTAAGTATTTTCATCATTACTATCATTATAGTCAATATCATTGTTTTTGAAAACATACT